GAGCCTGTCCCTCACCTATTGATGGGGCCTGGCCCTCCCTGCCTGGGCTGTGGGGAGGATCAGAGGAGCCGGGGGTGTATTTGTTTGTTTTCCTTTCAAAATGCCCGCAGAGTTTATATTGCTTCACAATAAACAAGGCCATGGGATGTAGGCAAGGCAGGAGCAGGCGCAGACGTGATGTTTGTCACAGGAAGGAGGCGGTGGCTGGGCTCCTTCAGCCCGTGGGGACAGCGCAGTTGTCTCTGAGGGTCAGAGCCTGGCTCCAGGCACTGGGAGAACCTGGCCAGTCGTGAGAGGTCTTAGTGCTGACTCAGATCTGATCTGTGGTTTCCATACTACAAATGACGAGACTGAGGCCCGAGAGGAGAAGCTTTAACCAAGGTCCAGAGCTGGTGTTGTCTGTGGTGCTGGGGAATTAACCAAACCGGGACACTCCACCACTGAGCTGTATGCCTGCAAACATTTTTATTATTATTATTTTTTTTTTCCCAGTACCGGGAATTGAACTCACGACCTTGCGTTTGCCAGGCGGCCCTGTGCTGCTAAGCTAAATCCCCAGCCCTGCCTTTTTATTTTTTATAGGTACTGTTTAATGTTTTTGAGCCGGGGTCTCGCTATGTCATTCAGGCTGGCTTTGAACTTACTATGTACCCCAGGCTGGCCTACAACTTGCCAAGATACTCCTGCCTCAGCCTCCTGACCAGCTGAGACTACCATGCCTAAGCAGGTCCAGTTTCCTTTTTTATGATCTTCCCGTCTGGAGCCACTGTCCCTATCATGCAGGCCGGGGATGGTGCTGGGCGGCGCTGGGCCTTTAACCTTGAACACGGGCTGGGAGAGGGGACCCAGGTGGGGCGAGCGACTGCGGCACGGAGGTTGTGAAACCACCAGAATGACAGTCACTTTGCATCAGAGTGTGGGGTTGGACCAGCTTGTGCAGGACAAGTATGAGCCGGCTGCGATGAGGTGAGGACCGAGAGCTCGCGCGTGGCTGGTGGGTCCGCGGGTGCACAGCGCCCCTGGCGTCTTCTTCCCTCACTACAGCGAGGCCGTGCCCGGCTGGCCCCTCTGGGGACAGAGCCGGTATCAGGCCTAGAGTCCTCTCCGCGTCCTTCCAAAGCGCCGGGCTCCGGGGGCGAGGATGCGCTTGGTGGTGCACCAGGCCACTGCCGGGCCCCTGCGTCGGCGTGAAGAGGCGAGGGTCGCAGGGCGCAGTTCCTACCGCAGTGCCCCAGCAGGAGCAGGTCCGCGCAGCAGCGCCACCGCCCAGCACCACAGCGCAGGGCTGGGGCAGACGCTCCTTCCGGGGTTTCCTCTGCCACTGCCACCACCCCCACTTCTCAGCCCTGGGGGTCGTGCACATACATGTTCACTGCACGTCAGGAGCACAAAGCGAGATGCCCGAGAGCAGATGTCTTCAATACAAGGCTGTGCGCTTTTTTTAGGATGATGGAATTTCATATGAATTTTTATTTTATTTATATTTATTTATTTATTTATTTGGCACTCAGAATCGAATTCACGACCTCATGCTTGCCAGGCAGGCGCTGTGCCACTGAGCTACATCCCCAGCCTCCCCCCCTTTTTTTTTTTTTTCATTTTGAAACAGGGTCTTGCTCTGCAGTTCAGGCTGATCTTTAACTCACTATGTAACCCAGGCTGGCCTCTAACTCATGGTGATCCTCCTGCCTCAGCTTCCCAAGTGCTGGGATTACAGGTGTGCACCATCATGTCCTGCTTCTTTTTGTACCCGTCAACCCCTACTGGGGGTTGAACCCAGGGCTGCTCAACTGCTGAGCTATAGTTCCACATCTCCGGCCCTACCTATCATCTATCTATCTATCTATCTGTCTATCTATCTATCTATCTATCTATCTATCTATCTATCTATCATTTATCTATCTATCATCTATGTATTATTTTGAGATAGGGTCTCACTTAGTTGTCCAGGTGAGACTTGAACTTGGAACTTGAGATCCTTGGGCCTCAGTGTCCCTCAGTGCTGGGATGGCCAGTGTGTGCCACTGGGCCCTGCTGATCATCTGTACTTTTTTTCTTTTCTTTTTTGAAACAAAGTCTCACTATGTAGCCCAGGTTGGCCTCAAACTCCCAGCAATCTTCCTGCAAGCCTCCTGAATGCTGGGATTGCAGATGTGTGCCACCGTGCCTGGCTTGTACTTTTAGTGGTTACTTAAATGCTCTAAATACACATTATCTCAGCGGGTCATGGTGGCACACTCCCAGTGGTGGCGTAATCCTAGCACTCAAGAGGCTGAGGCAGGAGGATCGTTGTAAGTTTGAGACCAGCCTGGGCTATAAAATGAGCTCAAGGCCAGCCTGAAATGCATAGCAAGACCCTGTCTCAAAAAGACCA